GGGGGTAGGTGCAGTTCAGACATGTGAAGAGTAAAATGGCATATGAAGCGATTGCGAATCATTTTAGTTGCGGAAGACATTGTTCCTACTTCTATATATACCCTGTCTACAAGTACGATGAACCTCTTCGGCAGCCACTGCTTCAAGTTCGGAAGCAGGACAGCACTCCCGAGTATTCGTTGTGTCCAACGCGAACGGGGGATCAAATGCCACGCCCAGATTATCGCCAATTAGCCGACCGGTGCTCCGTTTCATCATCGCAACACAATGTTCCTTCACAACGTCGTAGATGAGACGGCTGTCTCGATCAAAATACTCGTCCCGCCCGTCGGCTATTTTTCAATCTCCAACATGATTCGCCCAAGGCCACGACATGCTATAGGTATCACCAGTGACTATGGCATCCGTGGGCTAGGTAAGAGAAAAAGGGGGGTTAACTGAGATCAAGTTCAGGCCATTACCGCATCAGATAACATGTAGTTATCTATAAAGTGGGATTGAAAGATCGTCGCGTTGAGCCTTTCTTTCTTCTCCTGAGTTCAATCATCAAGAGGCTAAGAGGAAGCTGAATCAAAAGCAAGGATGCGTGACATCGCCTCCATTTCGTTCTTCCTTCTCGTAGCACCCCTCGGTACCCTCGCCGCCCCAACACCTTTCGAGGATGTGATTTCAAGTAGAGTCCACCAAGCAAGAGCAGTAGTAACCCCAGCGCCATGCCAACCGCAACTCAGCCCTCCTCCCACCGAGCAGGAATCAGCCGAACGTTTCGAGAACTTCGCCCACGCTTTTCTTGAAACCAAGAACTTGACTGAAGCGTTTGAGTACATTGATGCTACGTACATTGTATGCCTTTTTCTTCTTCCTCACATCCCCGGTAGTGCCATTTGATATTACTTACCGTATACTAACGGTGTTATTTGGTCGACGAGTGACAGAACCATAACCCTTTCGCCAGCGCCAACGGCCCCAACGCTGCTCTCGATGCCCTCGGTCCTTACTGGGACTCGATCCAGATCACCCCGTTGAGAAGAACGTTCAAAGGCGAGTTTGGATGGTTGAACTATCGGACCAATTACTTTGGCGAGATTGTTGATAGGTATCGCATGGAGGGTGGGTGTATTGTTGAGCATGTGAGTTCAGTTGTCTCTGGTGTTGTAGAGTTTGACGTGACGTGCTGACATTGTTGCTTTGTTGACGTAGTGGGATCAAAACGAGCAGTACCCTTCTTTCTGTGACGAGGAAGGTATGGGGAAGGAATGGTTGACGGTCTGAAATGGAAAAATATGCTGGTGGCTCTTCTACCACGAAACCAACCTAAACAAGAATGGCAGTTTCACCTGGATATCCACCGTCCTTTCAATCACCTCAATGACTACGAAGCGTACACCAATGGCTAGTCGACCTAAAAGACCTCCCAGTCTTCAGGCTCATTCATATGTCGTAGATGTACGCATGCCCCAGCCACGTATAGCTTGGAATTCCAGTCTCTCCAACACTTTTTCCCGATGGCATATTTCCCCCTGATCAGACGCGCATCACCTCTGACCGCCACAATACGATTTATAATCTCAGCATGGCCGGGAATCAACCCAAACATGCCATCAATCGTAATACAAAACTTCGAACCCTTCTGTCGCCAGTCACAACGTGGAAAAACTGATCAGCAGCGTGCCGAATTCCTTCATCCGGCATGATAAGAGAGGTCAGGGTCCGCTAAAGCGAGCCGACCACACCTCCAACAAGTAAACTTGAACTCTTCAGGCACCGGTCTCGCTCTTGTAACTTCCTCTGTCTGAAAACCACAAGGGTATCATCGGCTCTTTGCTGCCATCGTGTTAACTTCTTCAATCCAGTTCATAAGTCGGATAATATCCTTCGGCGCGGAACAGTTTGTAGCTGTGACGATTCCAACATAGCAGCCTTCAACAAGGAGTGAACGCCCATTCAGGGCAATATGAACTTTTCCGATTGTTTTGTCAAGGCTTTGATCTCATATCATGTGGGGCGTTTTCGAAAACCTTCCCAGTCTAGTCCTCTGTCCCCCCGGTGGCGCCGTGTAGCGCTTGCATGACTGTAGGTAACTATTCCCAGGCCGGGGAAATCGATGCCATGTTCGAGACAATAATGGCAGCAACTTCCCAGTTTCCGCATATCATGCGAATCCGTTGAGGCAATGCGAACTCCTGAACCACCCATATCCGCCAAGATTTATGGGCGACATAGTAACGCTCCGAGACGACGCCACCCATCCAATTTGTCATAGGTGGCACTTTTCTCCTTGAAGCTGGCGAACGATGGGTCCAGTCTCGTGATTGAAAGTGCCTCTTGTATTGTCGGTAATACGCGTTGACGATGTGCTGAGTCGGTCCTATACTCTCGTTACCGTCCGTCTCTTCTCCTAGGTACATCAGACCTGTCCGGCAGTTGCTGTAAATTCGCGACATGAGGCGCACCTGATGATTGCGCTCGCATTTATCGTCATTTTCTTGGTTGATATAGACACCGTCCGCCCAAACTGAAATCGGGCTTGGTGTGCCCTGCATATGATATGCCACTCGTCGTACACTCTTCGGCGCCATCTCCAGATTGGCAGTTATGGCCAGCTTGCAGCCGTCGATGAACTTTTCGCGGCAGAAGTCGGAAGGTCCCCAGAAAGTGCGTCATAGACCGAGCCATCCTGCCGACTGGCATGAACAAGCGATCGCGATAGTAGCTGTTCATTGTCAGTGAGCATCAGGTCAATATAAAGAATCTGGATATGGGTTTCACATTCGAGTGGGCGGTAATGGCAGGATGCCATTTTCCAGGCAGCCAAGATGGACGACACATAGAAAAAGGGAACATGCGTCCTAGAAATTAGCGATCTTAACGGGCAAGGACTATCGCCATTGTTTGTGGGGAAAGGAAAGAGAGAGAAAAAAAAAAAAAAAAATGCCCCTAGAGGTAATCATGATACCGAAGCTGAAAGAGGAGAAGAGTCGAGAACGCTCGCCGCGGGCAAACCCCAAAATAACAGCATCCTTATGAGGTGCAACGCTGGCTGCCTCTAGTTAGTTGGGTTGCATCGAGTGCAGTTTACCTGAACGTCGGCGTTAAGCAAAATAAAGGCGCAGCTGTGAGATGAGGTACAGCAGGAGCGGAAACGTAAAAGGCGTCTCGGTTGGGCAAAGCGCAATGTGAAAAGCCGCTCGGATCATTCGCGAAGGTGTCATCCTGATCTCGGATCTCGATTGTTCCAAAAACCAAGTCCGCAAAACAAAAAGCAAATTGTTGAAAAGGCGAATGATGGATCAAACCAGACTTGGAACGGGAAAAGAACATGAGGGAAAAGAGAAAGAAAAAAGAAACTCCGGTACGGGGAATCGAACCCCGAGCTTCGCGGTGAAAACGCGATATGTTAACCGTTACACTATACCGGACTTTGTTGATAATCAGCACCAAGTACAGAAGCTAAGTGCAAGCATTTGCACACGTGCCCTGCCACTGGTCGAAGTTCTTTCCTCTTTTGGTCGCACCTCGTGAAGCTTGCTGTGCTGTCAAAGAACTGATTTCGGGATGACAACATGAATCAAAGGGACCACAATCAATACCCCGGAAAGCGCAATGACGAAATGCGTCCGGTGATCTGCAGGTGCGGCTTGATGAGTTTGGATGATTCCCAGCCGTCCCGGATAACCGGTTGGACCGCTTCATTACATAAGGTAGTAGTTGCCGAACAGGTCCGAAAGCGCCAATTATTCAGCAGCAGCAGCCACAAAGGGTCCAACCTACGGTGTAAACGCCGCTTGATTGTGGCTGGTGGTACACTGTGATTGGCCAAGGATGACCTCCATAGCACCGTGTAGAAAGGGGCGGCCGACAATCGCAGTTTCTAGAAGAGAGCTCGCTGACAGCAACAACTGCTGGAACCGCGCTGTCGACAGCCATTCCTGTCGGTTACGAGTATGTGTCAGCGATATCCCCGAATCGCGTCACGCAACGTCAATCTACACTAAAACCGAACCACGGAAAGGGTCACGGCCACGCGGGCAGCTTCCACTTCGTTATCAAACCTCTTTTGGTGGTGCAGAAGTGGCGGTCTTGCCCCTTTCTATTTTACAAATCCACAATCTCGACTTCGATATCTGATTCTTGCCCTTTTACAACTTCCTCAACTTCTTCATTTCCATACTCTACCCTACCTACTCCTCATAATCCACATTCCCGCTTGAATATCTCCAGACAAATAACTCGTCTGGTCCCTGGACAATATTTTCTCACTTGTACTCCCTTTGATGAAACTTTTCACATCGCCGAGTCCTATTGCTTGACTCCTTCGACTCGATCTATCCGCTAGGATTCGAGAGCTGAAATATTTCACTGCCACGCCAGCCAGAGTATCACCAACATGGCTGACTCGATACACAACGAGTCTACTTCCACAGCTCCATCACCAGACCAAATGTATTGCCACGCCTGCCATCACCAGTGGCAGCGCCAGGGCGAAACCCTCGAGTGCCCTGCCTGCAACAACGCAACCACGGAAATTGTCAGCAACCAGACCTCGCCAACAACTCTGGATACCAGGACAACGCTACTAACCCAGGATCGCCAGATCACGCCTGAGAATGACCCGCGCCATTTCCACCGCCGGCCCTTGCCTGCTACCGTAGAAGACGCGCCTGCAGAGGACGAGCCTCAACCTGACTATTCTGCTGCTGCCACCGAGACCGAGTCTCAACAGCCCACAGAGGTTACAACCTCCAACACAGAGACCCCAAATGCCAACGAGAGCAACGACCATAATGATGCGAGACCACAGACCGAAGCCAACGGCACATCAACAACCAGCGGAAACATTCGGACTTCGGATGAGACCAACACCCGAGGCACTCAGGAGCAGACCAGCAATGCTTCCAACACCGAAGCCCCTCGATCTGGATCCCGCTCTACCAACACCCAGCACTTCGATATCCGCTTCATCTTCCCTCCTGTGACCTTCTTCACCACCGTCATTTCCGAGCCTCTCACCCCACGATCTCAACAGCAACCAGCTGGCTCACAGCCAAATGGCCAGGCGCAATCTACCGAGCAATCGAATGAGCAGCCTAATAACCAGCAATCTAACGCTTCGAACACATCTGCTAATGGTCCCACTCCTAACGGCTCTACCGCTTCTGGTCCGTCCCCCATTACCTTCTTTGGATTGCACTTCTTTACGCCTAGGCCTCCTCATGCCCACACTGCTCCGGCATCCAATGCTTCGAGCAACACCACCCAGACCGAAGGCACTGCGCAGCAACAGTCACAATTCAATGGCGAACAAGCACAAGCCTCCGAGCAAGAACAGCCACAATCCAGTAGCGAACAACCACAAGCCTCCCAGCAGCAACAGCCCCAGCAAGGTCCCCAGCCAGCCACCCAAGGCCAATCATCCGCCTTTGGATCTGGTCCCGTACCAGCTGGTCTCATGAACGCCATCTTGTCCGCCATGTTCAGCCCTCTCAGTCCTCTTGTTCTCGGCAACCTCAACTTTGTTAACGACGGCGTTTACTCGCAAGAGGCCTTTGACCGCATCATCACCCAGCTGCGCGAGCAGCACGCCGCGCAGAACCCAGGCGGCGCCCCTCCGGCCTCTCAAGCCGCCATTGAGAAGCTCCGAGTTAAGGACATTGACGAGCAAATGCTCCAGGGCTGCCAGGACAACAAGACCAAATGCGTCATCTGCGTCGACGAAATGACGCTCGGCGACAAGGCTACCCTCCTTCCCTGCAACCACTTCTTCCACGGCGAGTGCGTGACGCCCTGGCTCAAGGTGCATAACACTTGCCCTGTCTGCCGACGGTCCGTCGAGGTCGAAGAGGCGCCCGAGAGCAAGAAGCGCAAGAATGTGGCGGAGCATGAGCCCACGGGCAGGGACGGCCATGGCATTGACGAGGCGGAGGATGAGGACGAACAGCAGAGCGCCGAAGTGGCTGCGGCGATTCCGGAAAGGCAAAGGAGGCCATATGGACCCGAGAGGCTGCGTGGTGAAGGTACGGATTGTGCTTGAAGTGAATTCTATATGTGATGTGATTTGAGAGGCGATTTTTAATTTGGGGGCAATTCTCTGATCTTCTTGAACAGCAGTGCCAAAGCGACGGCGTTTGGGTTGATCCCATAATCTCATTTTCGCCATCGCGATGAAAGAGGCTGGGAAGAAAGATCATATGGATGGACTGCGGATTATCAGGACAGGGGCGGGAGATTGAAAGATCAAAGCCTGGAACAAAGTCCCGATTCCGCACAAGTGCATATCTCTACGAGATAATGTGCTCAGGTCCCTATTTTCTGGGTTTCAGGAGCTCTGTGTTCTTTCCCTTTTTCAATTTGGCTTTTACCTACGATACCATTGCATTATACTTTCAACAGAAGCGCGGCGTTGGGGGAAACGGACGGACACCTGGACGGGATTATTGATTGCTACTACACTGGTTTAGGGTACTAAGCGGTCCTACGGCATTTTACTACTACTACTGGCATCAGCCAGCTCGATAATGAAAGGTTGTTTGTTTTCATTTACGCCGTCTTCGAGAAATTTGTTGAGGCCTGTAAAAAGACACGCCATGAATAGATTATGATGACACGATTATGGTTGATGATACAGAAAGAAAGGAAAAAGGTTGGCGTTATGGGCGTTGAACGCGCAAAGGATGGGCATATCGGAGTTCAATTTGTCAGCAGAGAGTCCCAACCAGCTGGTGGGCATTCATGGTCATGGATGAATGTTTCAAAGACACTCTCGGATAGTTTAATGAATGAAGGAATATTGTACCAAGAATAAAAGGGATATCTTACCTGAACCAAGTCTGGATGTGATGATTGTATTCTCTTTTTCATCAAGACAGTAATTTTGTTTTCGAACAAACACACGCATACAGAAACACCATGCCTCATACCAAAGGGATGGAAGCAATTATAGTCCTTGATGGGATATGATGTATCGATCCTTGTGCTAAGTAACGATGGTCGTTTGTTCGATAGGTAGGTACGATATGATACGGGCCATCTTGCTACTAGATGAAATGCTGCTTATCTGGCTTTAGTCTGGTTCGTTAAGAGAGAAAAGTGAACATAGAACATGGCCCCTAATCCCCCCTAAAAGCAGAAAAGGAAAGATAAAAAAGGGAGAAAGCGAGGGTGAGCAAAAGGAGAAGTACATACAGACTTCACGAGAAAAAGGGAAAAAAACATACAACACCAGGGATTCGCTGGTCGTCACCGACCCAACTACTAGTCTGGCCCTCACTGGCTTATCTATGGGAGAGCGGACGGGATCCCGAGTTTTCCAGCGGGTATGGTCGTATGTGATTGTTGTTTATGAAAGTACTGCCTATCAATGCTTTGTTTTTTTGTTTTTTCTCAGGAAAGCCTTCACTTGGGAAACCCGTCTGTTAATGTGAGAAGCAACTTTTGTGTGTGGTTTGACACATGTGCTCGAACTTGTCTAACAACTTTTTTTTTTTCCCTCTATTCCGTATATTAAAGCTAGCTTTATGAGAAAAAAAAAAAAAAAAAAAAAACTCGTCTCATCATCAAGGGTATCAAGCCAAAAATGCTAAATGACAGCTGGAGCTTTCAGTTAAAAACAACACGAGCCTCCCTCCCGTCTTTCGTTTTCGTCATGCTCAAAACCAGGCAGTCTATCCTCCCCAAACAAGAACAAACGAATGCAACGCAATGCGTAAACAGAAAAATAACAAAAAGAGAAAAAAAAAAAAGAAAAAAAACCCACCCGTATGCTAACTCCAAAGCCCAAGTCATTCATTCCCGTCATAACCTCATTCTTCATCACACACATACGAATCCTCCTTGAGGAACTATCCCATTCTCTCCCCCTTCCGCAACCGAACAATCTTATCCGCCCTCAACACCCCCAAACTGTTCTCCCTGCCTGGTCTCCTACCAATTTCAATACACAAAAACCGAATCAAGTCCAGATTGTTCCAGTAGCTCGTGTGCGCGCTCAACATATTCAGGTACTGGATCTCTAGCGGGCCCCCACCAGATCTCAAATAGTAATCGATTTGGCCGTTGTCGTTCAGTAAAAAGGCCTTCTTCTCGGCGACCTCTTCCCGGGAAAAATCATGCACTTCCAGTTCGAGCTGCGAGGGGAGGCGGAGGAAGGTGGGGGGTTTGGAGGTTGACAGCATTTGGGATTGGTGTCCGGTGGGATCGGTTGATTGGTTCGACGGATCAGAGGGGTTGGGAGAGTTGGATGTGGGTGCGGAGGTGGAGGTTGACAAACCAGCTAGACCGCGGAGGGAGTCGGAGACGGATTTGAAGAAGGAGGTGGTGAAGGTGGGCACGTAAGCGGTCTTGAGGCTGGAAGCATAAATGGGATCGATGGTCCCGTTTAGCAGGTAGGCGATGGGGTCCTCCTTGGCGAGAATGTTGTAGATGTTGTCGACGGCGATGCAGCCGAAGCGGCCGAGGTCACCGACTATATCCTTGTTGAGCGTGTCGGCTGCGTCTGCGCCGGGCTTGAGGCGGCCGCGGCGGGGAACGAGGCTACCTCTTTCTAGAAGAAGGAAAAAGGCGGCGGGGCTGCCGAGGAGGAAGAGGTTGGTGGTGTCGAACTCGAAGTGGCGGGTTTCCGGCTGTGTTCCGGATAGATCTAAGGGCCGGGGAACGCTGGTCGGTTGCTTGGAGAGAATCTCGACCGCCATGGCGCTGCCGAGCGAGTGCCCAATGAGGTGGACGCGGCCCTTGTCGGCGAAGCCGGGGTTGTTCTTGCACCATAGCCGGTACACGCGATTTGCTTCGCCTACAAGGGCGGCAATCATTTTTGGCTTATGGTGAGACATGTAAAAAGGAATGTCGAACATGACGTCTGAGATCATGCTGCGCACGGCAGGGATTGTGTTGGGTTCAATGTCCTTCAGCCCGAAACCGTCAGGAGTATATGCGGACGCGTCTTCTTCCTTGCTGGGACCGCCATCTTCAAAGCTGAGGAGATGACGCCAATTCACAGGCAGCACCATGATACCATTCTGGTCAGGCCGGAGCACCGGCTTGATCATGGGATTTTCCAACTCGATATTGACAGCTCTTCGAAAGGCATTGACGGCATGCGTGAAGTGGAAACTTTCAACCCGCTCGGCAAACTTTTGACCGATGCCATGCGCAATCAAAAGAAGATCGGTCACTTGGCCGCGATCCTGCTCCATTTGACATGCTGGGCAACCATCACCCGAAACATTCGTCTGCCGTGGCGTATTGCGGTTGGGCGCTTTATTTGCCGATGTGCCCTTCTTTTGGTGTACTTTGTCCCAGATGGCCTGGTCGAAACCGCGCACCACGGGGATTCCCACAGTAATACCTCTCATGATCTTTTGGAGTGGCCGTCTTCCATGATATGCACTAGGTTTTTGGCTGGGCCTTAGCAAGAATGCAGCGGACTTGTCCTTGTAGATGACATGAAAGTTGGCATAGGGTTCGGGTGGTGGCGGCGGCAGTTCTTGATCGGGATGCACATGCTCGAGTGTCCCTTCAGCTGCGGCTTCTCCACGAAAACATCTGGCGGCGCAAAACGGATCGCTCGATATTGGCGGCTCGGGAGGCATGTCGTCCTTGACTTTGGGGCGCTTGTCCGGAATTTCTGGCCACAAAGGGTGCGACACCTTTTCTTCGCCTAGCGCACCTACATCTAACGCAGACTTCAGTTCGTCCTTCCAGGTTTGACCCCATACCCGTAACTCTCGATAGCCGGCTTCTAGCTGGTTAGCGACAGCAGGCTTGACGGGGGTCATGGTGTCTCTGGGAATCAGTGTTAGCAGTCGACTAAGAAGGGTTGTACGGAGCGCCAATGCCTACCTATAGAACCACGTAGCGCGTTGCACCGTGGATATGTCATTGACAGGCGACCAGTATATTGGCTTCATCTGAAGAACTGGCAGCGAAACCATGTGCAGTCTCGAGATACCAACAGGCACCTCAACCGAATCTTCCGCCTGACGGATGACCTCTTTGACGATGCGCTTAGCCGCTCGGCTATCATTCCCTCCTAAGCGAGATGGAAGGCCACGTATGGATGGTTCTCTGGACGGCTTGTCTTCTGGTGTAGCACCGACTGACCGGCTGAGTGATTCGACGCGAACGAACGGCTTGCCTGATATTCCAGCATCCACGACCGGGGGTCTTGGAATCATCTTGCCAATAGTCGAAAGAGGAAGTTGGTTATCGTTGAGGGAGGAAGGCTTTACCTCTAAAGAGCCAGAAAGTCTTTGAAGAGGGCTAGTGCCAAGCGGAAGACTTGAGGGCCTAAATGCCGAGGACTCTTGCGAAGTATCAGAATTTGCCCACAAGCGAGTTAACTGGGCCATGACCTCCTGAATAAGGCGGTCGTGGTCGAGGGTTGGCTGGCGACGTCTGGTAACGGCGCAAAACTCCTTTCTTAACTCTGCGTCAGCATCGATCGAAAGCTCGGCGCAACATACTGGGACACTGTGGTCATGCTCATTCTCGGTGGTGGCCAGGGCCGAGAAAGCGGAATGGCCCTCCCGATCATGCTTGTCCTTGTGCTTAGCAGCCAGGAGGGCCACGATAGCGGCAAGTTTCTCGGCATTTTCCTTTGAGAGAGACGGACTCGGACTTCGGTTTCTTTGAGCGTGTCTGTGATTCCTCCTGTCCCTGTCGGAGGAGAAGCCCAGCCACGCCCGCTCTAGATCTCTGTTATCACCAGGGGAGAAGGGTCGCAGTGGTAGGTTTGCTGCTTTCGCATCGGAGGAGCCAACAGTTGTGGCAGCAGACAAGGGGTCATCGATGGGGATGGTGGACGAGTAGAAGAACTGGGCGTTGATAGGCGGGATGCCCTCGAGCCCATCGATGGGTTCGGGTTCGGTGATGGGCGCTAGTCGGCAGGAGGGGCCGAAGGTATGATGGGTCTCGGTCGTGTTGGACATGGTTTGGTTGCCCTTTTGAAGCGGGCGGTGACAAGACTCGAGGGCGACGCGACGAGGAAGCGCACTGATCGACGATCGAGTTGCTATGCAGGTACCTGACGTCAGCCACTTAGGTATACCGAGCGATGGTCCACAAAGCCAACGGCAATGTCTGAACAAGAAGAGTAGCTACCTATACCTACCACACACTACGCACGCGCTTGTGCTCAGACGGACTGTCCGGCCTAATCAGTAGTGTATAAGTGCCAGTCGAGGTTATTGCGAAAGAGGACACTAGTGTAGTTAGAGAAGAGAAGAGAAGAGAAGAGAAGAAGTGAGCAGGCCCATGACCTACAGGGACCGTGACCTTGAGACCAACTGGAAGTGGAATAAGCTCGGGCTCCAAGTCTGGTGGGAGAAACAGTCCGCGATCCGAGACATGGTGTGGAGAGCGCAAGTTTAGGTTCTTTTTCATGGATGCGAGATTGATTAAATAGTGTACGACAAGTACACAGGCGCAAAAGTCTAATTACACTACACTACACTACACGTGGTTGCGAGAGGGGACTGGACGTGAGCGAGGTCGAGTGCTCCCGTCTGGCTCTTCTGCCTTGCGTTGTATCACTCACTCTCTGAGTGTGTGTAACCGGATGCGCTGATGACGTGGTTAACCTCCAGCTGCGCGTGTTGGTGAATCAGTGGGGTTTCAGTGGGTACACTATGGAATGAGGATCCCCATCATTTAGTGGGTGCCTGCCTCCGCCACGAAGTGACATGGGATGGATGCCATTGCGGCAGTACCCGCCCGAACTTCCACCCTTCAATCCCGTCACTTGTGGCGCTGAGGTGACCCGACAGGCTGTGGCTGAAGCCTCGTATCCTCGTTTCCCCAGGTCTCTAGTGTAGCTGTCGTGGAGCCAACGGAAATGATGTCTGCGCATCCCAAGATCCGAATGGATGGTCGGGTACATATCATCCAGACCCATGCTTCACTCTTGCTGCCTCATACCGACGACTGCCAGGCATCTCCAGGTTTTTTACCCGATCCCAGCGCAAATCTCTGTCATGTCATGTCGAGTCATGACTACATCTCGTGAACTTCCAACCTCCCCAATCCCACGGACCATTCAACATGGCCTAGTAGTGCCGGGCATCGAGTTTACTGTTGCGCCGGGAAGCACATGTCAACATGATTTACACCCAAACACCCTAGGCAGTGACGGTAACCCAAAGTAGAATGGTGGATACCAGCTGGGAAATGGTACCCCTGAAAATCCTCTCCGAGTTTCCTTAAATGGGCGCGCCAGTTCGTTCCTTCGGTTGTGTTCCCAAGCATCTCCTGGGCTCGTCTTGCTCTGTTCTGTCTTTTTCGCCTGTCAACCGCCCTCCTTGACTTGACAACATGTGGGCCTCAGTGACGCCTAGAGATGGGGTCGATCTGGGAGTGCCCCAAACGTGCTTCCAGCTATGTGGTACGTTACTATCAAATCTTCTCTTCTCTTCTTGTCATGACACAGCCACTGACCGAGACCCATCACAGATGATGCCTTTCTGGAATCTAAATCTCTTCTGACTCGTCAAGACTTATGTGCAACTGACGGCCCCCTTATCCGAGAGTTCGACTCTTGCAATAGCTGTATCAAGAATGGGACCACAACTGATTCGGCTTATGCTGTCGCCTACCAAAAATACATTGATCCTTACTTCGGTGATATCCTTCGACAATGTATCGACCTTGGGGCAACAGTTACTCTCTCACTTGGCCCGCCCGAGCCAGTGGCCACCACAGTGGTTGGCACCATTGCAACTCAACAACCAACGAGCACGACGGGAGTTGAAGCATCAAACCTACACACACTAACGGCGCCATTCGACCCAACTGCAACTGCTGGAGCCTCACCAAGCAGCGCCACCGGCACCAGCTCGTCCATTGACGCGTCTTGGTTGACTACCGACCAGGCCATCCAGACCAACAACTATGTTTTGCTTACTGGAGAAACCATCACGGTCACCGAGCTTGTGATCGCAACAATCACACGTGCCGACTGGACTGGCTGGCATACTAGCGACATATCCACTCGCTCAACTATACCTGCAGGAGGCTACGGCACCCGTAAAACGACCCCTTTGTCACCAACAGGGGCTAGCCATTCGGGCTCAAAGAGTGTTGCTGGTTGGGTTTGGGCCGTCATAGCTATCGCTGCTGCCATCGTTCTTGGAGCACTGGTCGTTTCCTTTGTGCTTATCAGGAGAAAGAAATCCAAGAAAGCGAGGCATCTACGGTCTAGCTCCGGCAGTACACCTGAACTGCACGGTACCAGCGGGGCGGGAAGCAGAACGGAACTAGATAGCAAAATCAGCTCGGCGGAGTTACATACCGATAAACTACCACCATCGGAACTTGATTCAAAAGTGCCGCCAGTGGAAATGGATACGGAATTCCGATTCGAGTTGCCAACGGAATACAACAAGGAAAGGGATTTCGTGGAGGAGACCATAACACCGATCAGCACATGCACTGACGCCACCCGGATCCCAGCGTCACCCCTTGAGGAACAAAAAGTCCTGGTCACGCCCGGGCTCAACCTGCGAAGCAAAGAAGAGCTGCAGAGTCATACTAAGCCTTCATGAGTACGATTTGTTACAATTAGCCTTCAGAAATAAGATACCCCACTTGAACCTTACTCAATCGACACATATCACCAGACGATCAGCTGGGGGATGGGCGCGAGCATTCGTGGCTGTCTGCAGCGCTACTTTTGATGATCGAAAAAGCCAGTATTCTGTCAATAATGATATGGTGGTTGGGCGACCATTGCGGGACACTCCTCACGGACTAGAGCCACTTTATGGGCTCATGCAGCTCGGTCTACATCTAAGGCAGCCAGTTGCCTGGTCCTTCAAGGGCCTCGCTCACTGGACTTCGACACCGTTCCCGGAGTGCTTCGGATCTCGACAAATACACATCTTCGCCGAACCCAGCCAGCAACTCCTTGCAGTAGACGGTTCTCAAAATGAACGCTGGACACTGTGCGTATATATGTATGTATGTTTTCGACTCTTACAGAACGGAAGGCGCTTACGAAGCAGATAGGCATGTCTGGATTACAGCCCTTCGCCGTCCACTTCCGACGTGCCCAGGGCGACTTTCAGTGGAAACGCTCTGGGAGTCCATTCTCTCTTGCCGCAACACGACGACCGAAGATAACATTATGTGTGGCAACGTCACAGCCAGGTTTTACTATATTTTCGCTGTTGCTTCAGATCAATCGATTGATCTTTCATGGGACATACAACCAATCACTTCCCCACGGGATTACTGCAAAAACTTGAGTTTCAAGGCAACCCGGATCTCGCTAGCATCGATGTACTGCGTAAGTTGGAACCACAACAAGCATACAACTTTCACACGACGGGCAGACGGGTTAAGACATTGATTCGTCTAAGCCTGGATATCCAGTGATAAACCCGGTTTAACATGGAACATAGACCAAGAGCATTCCAACTCCTGCAGTGTCGCTTTGTCTTACGATAGCCTTGAGCCTCAATGACTACTGCTCGAACCCCGATTTTTTTTTCATTGTCTTGTATTTTATTGTTTGCGTTTACGGTTCCCACTATTGTTCACAATAATCTCAAAGCACGTGGATTGTTTGTTCAAGGCAGATATGTAGTAGATCTTGGATTTCCAGCGCCGGGATTCGAAAGAGGCCTCCTCCAAGTCGCTTGGGCCGTCTATCACACGATATGGGTATTTGTCGATCGGTGGATATGGATTTGATTCAGCGCTTCGATCTGTACAATTGAACGTTAAGTTGGGTCCATATCTTGAGAATGTTATAAGGATGGCCTTCTCATCGATGGGGCTTATCAATCTCGTGGCTTGATCTAGCGGCATTCATACGCATCGTGACGCATTTCCGGACAACGCATGGGGCTTTGGCCAGACCATCGCCGTGAGTATAGCTCTCTGGATACTCGCACGGTTCGTACCCTTCTTAACCCTGTATATGACTGGAAAACTATCACAGGCACGATCAAATAGCAACAGAATTTTTCTCACAATATATGCTGCTGTTCATCAAGGTTATCCTTCAGTAAAGACGTCGGCAACAAGACACCAAATCTCATCGGCCCCCTTGTAATTACAGCGGTTAGCTAGTGAGGCGTGCAAGATCGGCGTGGCGCTCACCACCAACGTACCTCTGGGACACTGGCAATTATTGCCCTCCAATATAACAATGAGAGTATGGTAATGGGCTTCAAAGCTAAAAAGGAATCAAATTACTCATTCCAGTTTGCAAAGGCCTTCAAGAAGCAGTCAAGAGTTTACAGTGCGCAAGTGATGGGGATGAGTTCGTCCCCGCTGGTGGGGGTAATCGGCACACAGGGAAGCTTTCACTAAAACCCACTGTAAGAACAGGCTTCACCACTGCAGGCAGGCATCCCGCGCTGCGTGGCGAAGAAAAATATTACCACCTCACGCACACAGTCGACGCAATTTACACATCTCAAATCAAACCTCGTTTTTCTTAAAAGTTCAACATTCATCCATTTCCTAGGTAACAACAGCTATACCGAGAACCATCATAGCTCATAAAATCATCATTCAACACCTCACCCGCCTACCTACTCATTCCGCCTCCTGCAACCCCGTCAACCCTCCCGCCAACCCCTGCATCCTCCTCCCCAAAATATCATCCGAGCTATCCAGCCTCACCAACAGCGCCCCATCCTCATCGCCCACTTTGACCCTCCTCAGCTTCATCCTCCTTGGCGCCTTCTTCGCTTTGACCTTTGTATTCGCCGCAATCGCTGCCTCAGTCGCTGTATCACTCCCGGCTTCCTCATCTCCTTCTGCTCCCTCGACGACATGGATCCCGTCTTCGTTCACCATGCCTTCCATAGCATCTGCCGAGGTTGAAGCATTCCCCTCAGAAATAGAGCCGGCATTCTTCAATGCCACTCTTCCTCTTGTTCGGGCTTTGCCGCCCATCTCCAATGGCTTGTCTTCGTCGGCGCTGCTTTCTGTTCCTCCTGTCCCGCGGCGACGGTGATGTCTCCCCGTTCTTTCTTCAGCTGAGTGTTCCTCGACTGCCCCGAAACCGACACCCTTCTCATTTGTCCCCCTTCCAGCCGCTCCTGTTTCAGCCTTCTCTTCCAACTTGGCACCACCAGCAACGCCCATCTTCCTCCTCGCCCTCTCCTCCTCCCTCTCCTTTCTTTCCGCCTCTGCAAACACCTCCCCCATCCACCCCGCAATCTTGCCAAACAATCCCCACGCAGGCGGATACACCCCCGCAAACTGCAAAAACCCATGACTAATCCCCGGCACCAGCGCCACCTCAGCCGCCTGCTTTCCATCCCATTTCCCATTTGTCTTTCTAATCGCCTCGTCGACGTCTTCCTCTCTATACTGCGTCCTGGTCCCATCAGAAGCGACCATGGCCGCTTTTACCCTCTTCAAACGACCGGCGAAGATGACCGTGTCGTCTACAAGGGGGTCGCGCTCGCCTGTCAAGAAATAGGTTTTGGGGAATTTGGATAACAAGATATCGGGCGCGAGAATGGGACAGAGCAGGTAGTCGGAGGAGAAGTCGGGCCGGTTGTGAGGGCCAACGTAGAGGATGATCATTGCGCGCATCATTTCGGGCGTGAGGACACGGTCGGCAAAGTACGAGATCATGGACGACATGGCGAGGCGGGTGCGCATGGGCTGGGGGTGGTGGCTATGCGGGGCGGCGGTGGGTGAGGGGGTGGTTGTCGTTACGACAGCAGAGGACTTTGCTTTGGGTTGTTTCTCAGTGGTTTTGGATTTCTCGGACCTGGAAGAGGAAAGGGAAGGAATGTCGGCATGCGACCAGGTTGAAGGGCCCGAGTGCGCGTATTCCGGTGCTGAGCGAGCTGCTGACAATGGCTCCTTCTCCTTGACCAGGCTGGGCTCGGGGTTGGGGCCAGATGAAGGACCGTCGTCTTCATCGTCCGATGGGGCGGGGGTGCCGACCAAGTCGTTGTACTGAGACGTCTTGCGCTGGACGATTCTTTTGTTGGTTCCGCGCATTCTTCGGTCCTTGATCAACGCCATCTGCTCATCCGACATCCAGCTGCCAATGTTCATATCCAGCGCAGGATAAAAGAGAATCAAGCCATCAGGTACCTTGAGGTTGGCCTCTCCCTGAAAGCGACGAACAGGCGACGAACCGCTCTCAACGATCATAAGCGTCATGGAAGTCGCCAGCGTTCCTCCCGCACTATCACCCGTGACTACGATCTTGGGCACCTCTCGTCCGGACAAGCCAATGCACCGCCCCTTGGTCTTGATGATGGTACTGTAAACATCATAACACTCGTTCAGCGCATACGGATAAGGAAACTCGGGCGCCTTCTTGTAGTCCAAACTCAAGATAGGCAATCCCGTTTTGGCGGCCCAAGAAAACAGCTTATCGTCGTTGCACCTCGGATCCATGGCCACAAAGCCGCCACCAGGGATATCCAAGATGATCTTGTTATGATATTCCAGATCCGCCAACGGACCATCATAGTACAGCCAAGCGGCAACCGGATCTTTGTAATCGCTCGTCGCTGGCCTCGGGATCCTGATCTGCCTGGGCGGCCACCGCGTAAACCGTGGTCGCATCAGATTCTGCACGAAGCGGAGGTAGGGCGACGTGACGCCCTTGTTCCAGCTGACGCGGAGGTGCTCGACCGTGAGGTTGCCGCGCACCTTGCGGACCTTTTCGTCGGCCTTTTCGGCGGCGACGAGGTAGAAAAGCGAGAAGGCGATGCTGGAGATATCGCGCAGCCACTTTTGTTTAATCTTCATGGCGGTCCAGAAGCCGGCGTCCAACGCAGTCAGCACCCACGTGGCCCGGAAGTAGGCGGCGTCATACATGTTGGCCATGGGTTCGGGGCTGGCGAGCCCGACGAGGGTGCTAAAGTTGCGGGCCGCGTACAGGTAGATCATGGTCAAGATGACGGTTTGCCATGTTGTCAGACGTCGGGAGAGAAGGCGAGAGAAGATGCGGAAGCCGGGCGGGCCATGTTTGTGACCCCTGCGTGGAGATGGTGTCAATCTAGGTGCTTATTGGTGTCTGGTGTCATGACTGGGACGTACTTGATGAGGTAGGCGGACCAAAAGCCTAATACGGCGAGTACCTGCAGTCTCCGAGACTTGGCAGACGGTCGTCCGAGGAGGTGGTCTATCATGATGGACGGGGTTTCAGGAGGCTTGGATCCCCGGTGCCCGATATCAGGTTGCGCGGCCTGGTACCAACGTGATCGGAAGGGGCTGAATGCAAGGCAGTAAACAAAGCCCTTTCTTTCTTGCTAACAGCAATCGCCCACTTCAGAGTCGCGTTACTATCGCCTGTCCATGAGATTTGGCACCGGCTGTGATGATTCCGGGTTCGGACAGCCAAGGCAACAAGTTGGACCGCCAAGGGCAGAGCGTTCGGCGTCTTTCAGAAGCACGCGTGCAGGGTGGGCTGGTGGTGGGCACGCAGGATGATGCTGGTCAACAGGCAGAGTCTGATGGCGGATGGTTCTGCATACAGCAGCACCAAGATTTTGGTCTGTGAAGGACAAAAGTGCCTTGGTTGGGATGCTTTGCGATCACTGCGCAAGGTTATCAGAAAGCAAAAGAAGGGAGAAAGGAGAAGAGAGGCAAAACCGGTTGGGCATTAGTTGATGAAACAGGAAGCAAGGTGAGGTGAGGTAAGGTGAGGTGAGGTTGGAACAGCGACGAGGGTTGATGGCAGTGGAATGAAGGTATGTATGTGTTGGCTTGCAGTCTATTAGTGTAGCAAGGGTGGTCGTCGGCGCCGGGGGTCGGGATGCATATGATCGCCTGTCGTCATGCTCGTCCCAACGCCGCCCAATCGGCGTCCTGGGATCCATCCCAACAGTGGGTTTTGTCTGACATGTGAAAACGGGGGTGGCACTTTGGCCGAGAACAGGTACATAAGTATGTAGTACTAGTGTATGGTACGTACCGCCTACATAGTGCAACCTTGATGCATGATTGAAAGACACCCTGACAAAGAAACAAAGAGGGGGAAGTTCCGGACTCCGGGGTTTGGAGAATGTGGAGAAAACACGGGGTACGGATGGATCTGGAGGGTCACACAACGTCAACCCAGGTTTGTTTACTTGCAACCCCTTTTGGGTCATCTTGTTCTTTTCTTGTTCAACACCACAGAGGTGCTGTTTCGTGATAAACGAATCGACGCCCCTTACTTTTCTCCCTGTTTTCTAAAGGGCGCTGAGAGCTATCGACATTCAGATTCACCGCCTGGCATGCAATCAATTTCTGGCGGGCAGGAATGTTGCAATACGCTTACAGACTATTCCTGATTTCCAGGATACTCAAGATAACCAATAGTCAATAGCTCGAGTCTTTGCGGTATGACGACTACCGGTGCCGTTTGTATTTGTACGACTTGATTTGGAGTAGTAGTGCAGAAACGCTCGGCGGGAGGAACGTCTACCTACCAAACGGTTGCGATTGAATTCAAGGCGCATGTGCGTGCTTTCCATGTTGCCAGCTCGTAACTTCGCAGTCGAAAGCTGCCTGAATCTCGAGACGAGCGAAGCCAGTTTCCCATAATCCAACGAGGCTGTCGAAGTTGTTACTTGGAGTTTCAGGTTTCCTTGGGGTTGCGGAAACGCATAGGTGTAGGTACAGTAGCTTGACACTTGCTTAGATATCCCCAAATATGCCCGATCATCAGCATTTTAATGCAGCATCGAGCGGTTGGGGAGTACCGTTAACTTCCATATTCTGCCGTGTCAACAACAAGGGAATAGATGCACAGCGCGTCAATTCCCTGGTACCTGCCCGGTTTCCTTCGATGAAATTTGGCAGCCGATATGCCATGGAGGGCTACTGCTTGATATGTTGGAAACAGATGGCCAGGCTGGTGTTGCACTTTCCACAACCGAAACGTCCTTGAAAACATTATGAATAAGATGGTGTTACGCATCGAAATTGTAGTTGAACTTTTTCCATCATCAACCTAAGCTGGCATCGTAACCAACCTTCAAGATCAAAGGAAACCCCGACCAGAAAGGCCTAAACAAACCCGTATGCCCACCCGTACTCTAGACCTGAACTTCTTTATCATCAAGTCCAGATGACCACTAACATCCAAGATGATAGAGAACCCCAGCGCTACTTGTACCCTCTGTACAACTGCAGAGGGAGAAGGAGACAGAGCTTGAAACCGAGGCAGACGCGGGAAATGCCCGCAAAAGAACCACGTTTGTCATCTATTTCAGCTCGACTTTTCAACCGACAACCACTGACCTTGCTTACATGCAGATACTCCTGAAGGAGCGACAGCGATGACTTCAATTCTTGTTCCCACATTGGTCGAAGAGCCAGCATTGACCGACTACGGCCAAATCACCAAGACCGACAAGGATACAATGAAAACTCCTACCCCGGTTATGGCACTCATGGCTGGAGAGTCTGTCATGGAACTCCTGGCTGAGGACTCTGTCAAGGAATTGGTGGCCAAAGCCTCTGTCATGACACTTACGGTCGAGGACTCTGGCATGGATTTTGACAAGGCCTATGTCCGTGACCTCGGGTCCGAGGACTCTGGCTTGGATTCTGACGAAGACTCTGGCATCCTCATGTCCGAGGACTTTGACAACCTTGTGCTCGAAGACTCTGACAATAACCCCACGACCGGAAAATCTAACATCGACATCCACAAGCGCTCTTTGGTCGTCATTCCCGCGGGCTATTTCATCATCGCCTCCAATGGCGAGATCATGGACCTCATCACACACCCCGAGATGTTGCTCGACGATGTCTTCCAATATTTCCCAGACTATGAGCCACGGTTCAAGGGAGAAGCTCACTTGAATCCCCTCCATCGTTTTGTCTGTGAAGACACTTGTTTTCTGCGCAACTGGCTGTTTGTGCAGGACTTGCTCTTCATGCGCTTTTGGGACCAATTTGGCCGAACGAGGCACGCCAGTTCTTTGAATAAAGATACCGTTGGCGCGCTCGGGGAGATCATAAGCTTCTTTGTATTTGCCACAATGCCTTTCGACACACGACGTCTTCCCAATAACAACTGGATCGGGAACTATGGGCGCCTTCTTCGTCCCGATTCGGACACCTTCCTGCGAGTATGGGAGTTTTACGATGGTCCACTTCGTTGTGAGATCGGTGATGCTTTGGTTGGACAAACCATAAGCAACATTGTCAAGCACTTTGTGGCAAAGGTATCCCTGGATTACGAGTCACAACCAGCTGGTAACCCCGAGCGCATAAACGCCACAGTCTGCTTCAATCCTGGAGATAACGTCCACCTTCGAGAGGTGCAGAGGTCCTGGATGAACTTCAGGAACAATGTCGATAAGAGATTGGCACAGCTGGGACCGTCGAGTGAATGCTGTGGTAACAAGGAGGTAAAGGTGCCCACAGTTTTTCCCAAGGAATATTTTCCAACGGGGGAAAACATTCCCGTTGGGAATAACATCATCGAACCCCCTCGGATCCGCCGCTATTATTGGAACAACGAAACAGCTCCTCCACTGGTAAACCACGATTGGTGGGACACGGCAGCCCATCATTATAACTTTGTGACCGACGCCCACGAGCGTTCGCGACCCGCTCGCGAGGAACCGGAACCTCCCAGAGAGTCGTCCTATGGCAACAAGATGTTGTAGTTTTCCAAGGCACATGTCACGATTTGCTTTGCAAGCGCTCCCTCTCACTGCGCTACAGAAGATAGGGTATGCTATAACGAAGATAGCAGGCTTAGAGTCATCAAGTTGGCTGGAACAAGCCACGATGTTGGTAGATTACTCCTGGAAATACCTATCTTTAGAATAGAGTTTGGATTACAGCGATGGCTGAAAGCGCAAAGGTGCGCACGAATAGAGCTAGCAATGAATCGGTTGACAAGGCGGTGACAGTCTCTCTGACCCCGAGGAGATGTTGCGCGCCTCGATGGGCTGGTGCATACTTGGCAGTTACCTGGACGGGCATTGCCAGACACAGCATCAGGCATTAGATAGATATTCTATCTTTTCTGACACTTTTTTTGTCGAAAAAGAACAAAATCATGAATCTTAAAACACACAACCAGATGAGCTTGTTCAGTGACGCTGTCTTATCAGCACGAGTCCTACGTTGACTTTGACCGAGTTTGTCGCTATAAAATGAGCCGCCCTCCTTGTGCCAAAGACGCCGATGTCCCATATGTGAATGTACCTGATTTATACTAACTTGTACCTGTGAAAGGGAAGTGATTCACGCCTCTTTCTAAACTCTCCTAGTTCGAACTCGAGACGCTCCTTGGTGTCAAAAGATCCCAGTAATCCAGGAATTGGGCTTTGTTGTGTGCAAGTATCCATGTCGTACCTGTGCGACCACTGGCCCATTCGGCGGAAGGTCGGTAAACCGTCCTCCACACCCAATTCCTCTAGGAGGATACCGTCGATCCATACGGTATCCCACCGTCCAGCTTGGTACTCCATGCTGATAGGGAGCAGCCGTAGATCTTCTTTCTTGACAACGCCTATTATTGGTCGATCAAGGTTTATTAGTACCTGAAACTGGCACTTGTCACCGTTATACGCTCGGGCGTCAGCTTTGCACGTAGAAAACCAGGACTCCCATTTTGAGAGAAGCTGTTCGGCGTCAAAACCGAGGAAGTCGAAGGCGGTGCGCAAGATCAGTGCGGAGGACTCGAAGCCAGGATAGCCAAGGTGAAGGGCTTGAGAGTTGAGTGGAATGATGGTCTCAACCTCCACCAGAGGTTCATTTTGGTATTCTGGTTCTGTATGACCCGGCCAAGCAATGGAGGATGAGCCCGGGGAGGTTGGACATGAAGCCCAAGACCACGATGGGAAGCCAGTAAGTTGTTTCTCGAATGATGCATAATACGCGGTGTCCCGGATCCTTTCAAACTCGTCATAGTGGCCGTGACGATGCGAAACACGGTACCATATCAGCTGCCGTATCAGATATTTCTTCCACAACCCCGCTACACACCAGTCGCATTCCTGTGATCCATCAAAAATTTCCCAGAATCTGTTGAAAACACCCCTCAAAGCGGCCAGCCTGTCCGAATATTGCGTGAGCTGTGTCTGGCTATAGTCACGGACTATTGTCTGCCATACCGTGCTCACACCAAAGACACTGGAAAGGCTTTGGTCGTTGGCTTGATCAACAGATGTGAGTATGTCTGGGTTACTGCTCGCGGAACCCCTGGACCAAGCCAATCCCTTGTCTCCTGTGAATGATTCAGAAGCGTGTCCGGCTTTGCACTCCCAATAGAGCTTCTGGCTAAAGTGAACAGTGCGCGTAGCTAAAAATCTCTCCTGGTAGCACCATCCTCTCGAGTAGAGTGGAGCACGTGCAAGGTCTGATGACGGAGTGTAATTCCTGAAACAAGCCCAGTATTCCTTCGAGCTGGCAGTACGAGTACGGGAAAGAACACAGGGCGATACAGAGATTGGGTCCCGGGTGACCTCGAGGCCTGGTGAGAATTCGGCACATGCATGAGCGAGATTGAGGTAGCCGTGGGTGTAAATGCGATGCATCAACGAAGCTTGAGTGTTCCAGTCTTTCCCATCGTCCTGGATGATACAAAGCGAATCGATCCATACATAACGTATACCGAGGGTGCGAGATAAAGCAACGGCATCCTTGTATATCTGGGGCCAGTTCTCGGTAGGGATCGATTGATGGTATTTGTCCTTGTTGTGGGTTTTCAGATTCGTTTTTGGTGTTTCTGCAGTCCATCTGTAGCTGAGGGTGATGTATTTGACATTTGTGTCCTTGACTCGCTCTACCAAGCGAACCGTAGCCGTGTCATCGAGCCCGACATCAATAAAGCGCACCTTTTCCAGGAACTCGGCCATACTGTTCTGAACCAACGATGCTCCTCTGCAGACCTCGTGGTTATGGGTGCAGTCGTGAATCCAGCTCCTGATTTGGTCAAGAGTAAGCGGATCGAAGTTTGTTGTTGATGAAGGTTGAAAGATTGTCACCGGAGAAGGGCTGTTTTTGGAGCCATATGGGAGATGATTGGAACGTATCACCCAAGACGGTTGAAAGGATGAATCTTTCGGGGTAACAGGTTTCAAGTCAATCGACGAGCCCCCATAATAGGGTTCGCCATCGTGACCCAGTGAAAAGTTGTAGCTGTCAGGGTCGTAATCACGGTTGACCAATCTGAGATAAAACGTGATTGTTTTGACGTCTTCCCTCCAAGATGTGTAGCCGTGATAGTTTGTCAGAATGATTAATTTGGGAAGGGGAATCAAGGAGTCGAGGAATATGCGGCACAGGTGACAGCCATCGGTAGTTGCAGATTCGTCGAGTTCGTCGATAGTGAAATCGCGCAAGTGCCATTGTTTTCCGCCTGAAAAAACTTGGTCAGGCTCTGGTCGGTCCCAAGGCCAAGGCCCCGTCACAGGAAAGATTTGCTGGCATTTCTGACAAAGCTTGTTCAGTTGTCGCGGTTCGATTTGGGATCCCATTATGGGCGTGAGCAGTAAGGATGAATTTGGAGGAGAGTTTACGTTGTTTCAAAAGGTGAAGTATGAATGGATGTGTCACAAGTTGCTGCCTGGCACCGACTTGTCTTGTATGACGGCCAATCGGGCAGATTACGAAGAAATCTCCGTTAGACCTCGTCTCTAGGTTAGGTAACCATGATGTGTTGTCTCGACGACAACAACAGTCCGTGTAACCATTGCGGCTGCGGCTGCGACGACTAGTGTCTGACTTTGTTGACATCTGGTCATCGTCAGGTGCCAGGTTTGTTAGAGACGAAGGCGGTCATGTTGAGGAAGCAATGGATGGAAGAATGATAGATGCTTCTGGGTTGTCAGGTAGAAGAGGCCCCGTTATCGTGGAGCTGGGCGAGTCGGTCCCATGGGGTAAAGGATGGAGTTGGTCGCCCGCAGTGGGATTGCGACTCCACAAGGTCCACAGCGAGATGGATTCCCCAAAGTCCCGCAAGCAGCACATTCTGGATGACTCTGTGAAGACAGATGTTGTCGTGTCGATGCCATGTCTTCTTTATTCTATCAATCGATGGTTTTTAGAGGCCCTTCCGACATCCATGAACCGTGTCTTTGTCTGCAGAATTCAACGCCAAGGGTAAATCGTGAACGGGAGCGATGGCGGCGAAGCGGGGGACCGCTGTTGATGATCATCAAGGAAGGGGCTTAGGGTCAAAATTTCCAAGAGCGGTGACAGCTCAATTGTCCACAGGGAATCCGATCTTATCACGGGCTTCTCCCTTTCCGAGTTGGCAACGGCAAAGGGAACGGCTCTGTGTCATTCGTGACGGACAAGGAAAGCCAGAAGCTCAGCAAGTAAACAAGCGCCGACCCCACCACGTTTCAGGGGGGCAACAAGCTGGTCTAGTGTACGCGGTATGGTAGCTGGCAAAACACAGGCCCTGGAAAAGGAGAAAAACACCAAATAGAGAAAAAAAAAAGCCGGCCCAAGATCTCGGGACAGATCATCGGTGACAACGGGATTATCCTGGCCTGGAGTTCGGGCCTGGGCTTCGGGACGGCAAGTCGTGGTTGCTATGGTTGCTGTGGGGAACTGCGCTGGGGACAATGTTTATTTTTCCCTGTCCCGAGGCCGCAGCCGTTGGTAACCCCGTGGCAGATTGCACTTGTACCGCCTGTGAACATCCACTTGTATCCCACTACCGCCCGCGGCCCCACCAACGACTACCGTGTTCCATTCCCGACCTTCCCCTCCCCGTCCTCCTTCACCCAATCCTACCCATCCTTCCGACGAACCACAACGTAGCACAGAGCCCCAGGACACCCATGGACGGATCCGAACAAAGTGGTCTGGCCAATCACGATGCAGCCTTTTGCTCTCTTTCAAGGAGCACAGCATTATTCAGCCCTCTGGGTGCCACCACTCCTCTGACGCAGTTGTGTGTCCCCTTTCTGCCGTGCCTCACTGCTGTGTCTGGAACAGGAGCTGTCAAATCTCACCAATACACTACTCTACATACCGGGTCCGCTTGCCGCACTTCTTGGGGATCCCTCGCCCGCTCGCCTGGACAAAGCCTATCGCGGTGAACCGGTTCATCTCTACACTATGGATACACTTGCCCCGATCTTGGTGTTCCCCAATTCTCGGAATCCATCCCGGATTTCGGTGTGTGTTGCGAGATGGCCGGCGTGTTACCCTGTCGTGATGATTGAGATATAATTACTAAATCGTGATTCCCTCCGCTTCTTCTTTGTCTCCGTTGATTGACCATCCATTATCATTTCTATTCATTCATCCGTCCGTCCATCCATCCATCTCCTGTTCAAGATACCCCCCTTCATTGCTCTTCTGTCTCTGGTTTCGTTCCTTTTTTCCAGTAACTACACTCACATACACATTTATACACCATGGCGACACAATCAGATAACTACTATGACATCGGTAAGTGAAGTCCCTTCACTCAGTAGATATTCGCACACCCATCACTAACACACCCCACAGTCATTGTCGGTGCCGGCCCCGTAGGCCTCATGCTCTCAACTTGTCTCGCACGATGGGGTTACAAGATCAAGCACATCGACAACAGGCCCGAGCCCACCGCCACCGGTCGTGCCGATGGTATCCAGCCCCGGTCTCTTGATCTTCTGCGGAACATGGGTCTCAAATCCGCCATCATGGCCCACAAGCCCGCCCGTGTCTACGAGGTCGCCTTCTGGGACCCTCCCAAGACCGGCGGCGGCATCGTGCGTACCGGCACCTGGCCCAGCTGCCCTGAATTTATCGATGCCCGCTACCCCTTCACCACCCTTCTGCACCAGGGTCTGATCGAGCGCGTGTTCATCGCCGACCTCGAGAAGAATGGCACTGAGATCCAGCGCCCCTGGACCATCACCGGCTTCACCTCGGACGAGAAGGCCGACCCCGAGTACCCCGTAACCGTCCAGCTCGCGCACGTGGATGACAGCAGCAAGACGGAAACCGTCAAGGCCAAGTACCTCTTCGGCGGCGAGGGTGCCCGCTCCTTCATCCGCGACCAGCTCAAGATCGGCATCACGCACAAGGACCCCATCTCGTACGTGTGGGGCGTCATGGACGGCGTCGTCAAGACCGATTTCCCCGACATGAAGATGAAGTGCACCATCCACTCGGAGCACGGATCCATCATGGTAATCCCGCGCGAGGCCAACATGGTGCGCCTGTACATCCAGATCGCCTCTTCCACGGACCCCGACTTCCACCCGCGCAAGACCGCCACCGAGGCGGAAGTCCAGGCGGCCGCCAAGCGCATCCTCGCGCCCTATTCCATCGAGTGGGAGCGTGTCGAGTGGTACTCTGTCTACCCGATCGGCCAGGGCATTTCCGATAAGTACACGCTCGACCACCGCGTCTTCCTCGGCGGCGACGCCTGCCACACGCACTCGCCCAAGGCCGGACAGGGCATGAACACGGCCTTCCTCGACGCGCTCAACCTCGCCTGGAAGATCCACGCCGTCGAAGGTGGCTTCGCCGACCGCCACATTCTCGAAACCTATGAGCCCGAGCGCAAGGACGTCGCCGAGACCTTGCTCGCCTTCGACAACAAGTACGCCAAGCTCTTTTCCCAGCGGCCCGACGCCGCCTCCACCGCCCAGGCCACTGCCTCGGGCACGCACACCAACCCGGACGCCCAGCAGTCGGCCGAAGAAAACGAGTTCATCAAGACCTTCAAGGAGGCATGCGAGTTCACGTCCGGGTACGGCGTCTTCTACAAGCCCAACGCGCTCAACTACTCCCCCGCCCACCACCCGGCCGGCACTTCCCCGACCATTCTCTCCCCCGAGGACCAAACCACCAAGCTCGTGCCCGGCCGTCTCTTTATCAACTCCACCGTCACCCGCGTCGTCGACGCCAACGTGGTGCACCTCGAGCAAGAAATCCCCCTCAACGGCTCCTTCCGCCTCTTCATCTTTGCCGGCTCTCTCACCTCCCCCACCCAGAAATCCGCTTTGGAATCCCTCGCTGCCGGTCTCCAGAAGCCCGACAGCTTCTTCTCCCGCTTCCAGCGTCCCGACATCGACACCGTCAGCCACCATGAGCGCCACAACCCGCACAGCAAGTTCTTTACTTTGGCGACCGTCTTTGCTGCCAAGCGCGCCGAGGTCGAGATCTCGCGCGACTTGCCTGCGCTGTTGGCGCGGTACAGGGATAATGTCTATGCGGACGACCGGTGGGATCGCAGGGTGCCCGACGCCAAGGCGGCGGCGCATGCGAAGATGGGCTTTGACGAAGACAAGGGTGGTGTAGTGGTTGTGAGGCCGGATGGCTATGTGGGCTTTGTGTGCAAGCTGGAGGAGGGTGGCAAGACGGTGGAGGCCTTGGAGAAGTACTTTGGTGCTTTTACTACTAAGCAGTAAGCGGCATGATACCCGGAGAAAGAAAAGGGGAAAGTGCTTGGGAACAGGCCGATCGGATATACATGTATATGTCTTATGAGTAAGGGTCTTTGTACATAGTGCGATTTTCTTTTGGCTGCATCTTTTTTTGTATAGTGGTCGTTTTGCATGCATTGGTTTGGATAGGTTTTGGGTATGGTTTTTTAGAGTTGTTAAATCAAACAAGTTCACAAATGAGTTTGAGACGGGGTCATATAGTGCTCATTGTTGGTCTTTTCCTGACCATAGTGTTGATTTTCCTTGCCAAGAAAACGGCTGGTGAAATATGAAATAAAATACACGTATTAGAGAGAATCCTTAGCTTGTCTCCTATATCAACGCCCACTAAGCCCCGGTGCGGAGGGTAAGCAACTTCTTCCCACCAGGAAGCTCAAGGCCGAACTTCTGACCCGCACCCTTACTCTGGTGTTGCTTGGTTCCTCGAACCATTGCTTTCCGACCACAGTATCTTGACAAAGTCAGATAATCATAGGCTGTTTTTGCAGCCATGGAGGCAGTTAGTGAGCTGATAATCAGCAGATAGAGTGCGTCTTCCCCGTCTTGCCCTGCAACGAGTGTTTCTCCTTCTATAGTACGTGGTTAGCTTGTCTCTCTCCAAGGGGTCGTCGATCTACACAGAAACAACAGCACAGGACCTTGTTACGGTACTTACGTGATATTTAGGATGGTTGTGCGATGCCTTCCCGCTTACAACATGATGTTTGTGGATAAACTCCTGCTGCTTCTTGACAGTTTCCTTGTCCATTTGCTCAAGTATACCTTGGCACGACCTGATATCACTGATGAGCCCATCACACCTGTTCCTAGAGAAATCTTCTCTGACAACGATTCTGAGCATCTTCAGCCCTTCCGTTTTGGGCGCCATGGTGTACGCGGGGACGATCCATCCGCGCACACGAAGTTGATGGGCAAGAGCGAACTCATCATAGGTACGGTCCGGATCCTCCTTGAGACGGAATGCGACCAAAGGCAAGCCTTGACCAGACTTTTGTGACATGATGATGAAGCCAAGAGCGGCAAGCGATTCAGCGAGGTAGTCAGCTGTGCGCGTCAGGTTGGACATGATAGCGCGGTAGCCGTGCTTGCCGAGACGGATGAGCTGATAGTACTGGCCGATGACCTGGCTAGCACCCTTGGAGAAGTTCAGGGTGAAGGAGGCTTGATCTGCACCGAGGTAGTTGATGTTGAAAACCAGTTCCTGGGGAAGGTACTCGGCAGAACGCCAGACGACCCAACCGACACCGGGGTAGACGAGGCCGTACTTGTGGCCAGAGACGTTGATGGATACAACGTTCTTCAGCCTAAAATCCCATTCCAAATCGGGTACGACAAAGGGGGCAACGAAACCTCCGCTGGCGGCGTCCACATGGATTGGTGTGTCCAGCCCCCTCTCCACAAGCAAGTCATTGACTGCCTTGACATCCTCGTATTCGCCAGTGTATGTTGTGCCAAGAATGCAGCAGATACCAATGGTGTTCTCGTCCACCAGATCGACCGTCTCCTTGGGATCGATGACGTAGCGGTCGGGTGTGCAATAGACGAACTTCTCTTCCACTTCGAAGTAACGAGTGGCCTTTTCCCAGCAGACCTGGACGGCGGATGACATGATCAGGTTGGGCTTGTCAACGGGCTTTCCCTCGGCAATGCGCTTGTTCTTCCAACGTTTTTTCATGGCAAGGACACCGAGCATGATGGCCTCAGAAGAGCCAACACTCGATGTTCCGACGGCGCTGCTAGCCTCCGCATCCTTTACTGGAGCATTGAAGAGGCGGCCAATCATGGAGACGCAGCGGTTCTGAATATCGGCCGTCTGGGGATACTCCTCGTAATCGATGAAGTTCTTGGGGAGGGACTCGGTCATGAGCTTTTCAGCTTCTTCCTCCATGTATGTGGTAACAAACGAGGCGAGGCTGTGGTGGATTCGTTAGCAAATGGACATACAAAGAAGAGACGCATGATGCTATGACGTACTTGAGCAATGGGTTGCCATCCAGGCTCAGCTCGTCCTTGATCATGCGGTAAGCAACTTCCTTGGGCATCTCCTCATCGGGCATTTCATGGCGGGGTAGGTCGGCGGCGGCGAACTTTGAGCCGTACACGCTCGTAGTGAAACGGTCTTCATCGTTGGCGAGCTGAAGATGAACCGCCTTGAGGGCGCCCGTAAGTGGAATGTCGAGCCCGTCTCTGATCTCGTCCTCCTTGGGGATGATAGTAAGATGCACCATTTTGGAAGTGTTCTGCAAAGATTGATACGTGGGAATATGATGGTATTATAGTGTCTGGATATTGGATATAGCGGACAGGATTGTCAGTATGAACAGTCCGTTTTCATAAAAGTTGGTTTGGGAAAGGGACGGCGTCAAGAGGGGCAGTGTAGACAGGACAAGACAAGATGAGGCCGTCATGGGAAGACGAGCTAACGAGGGGAGCTTCTCCATGACAGTCTCCTGATGAACCACTTACGAGGTAGCGGAGGTTGAAGCTGAAACAGACCGACAGGAAGACACGACACGAAGCCCTTGCGATGTAACTGGGACAGCCAAAGTAGACTCGAAATTGTTGGAATTGGAGATGGTCAAACTGAGCAAGAGACGGGAAGGAGGGGTTGTACGGGGTTGCCCAAATTATATATGAATACTAGGTAGTACTTAGTATAGGTATGCAATCAACAGGAACAGGAAGGTACCAATGCTACATCTTTTGGGCAATCGTGATTCTTGGCATCTGTTTGGTTCTTTCCCAATCGGTGACGCAGCTCATTTCGAGGGTGCCATGATTGACGAATTCTGAAAGGTAACAGAGCTGGAAGGAGCTTTCCCGTGTAAGTGGTAGTGTGGAGACGACCAATCACAAACCGACGTTGGCGGGGTGCGGGACGTTCCACAACCCAACGTCCAACAGTCAAGCTCCACTTTCCCGCATTTGTCTGTGGCTTGTTTCTGCCCCCTGCTGACTACATAGACTAGACTGAGGGCAAACGACGTGAAACAGCTACCCCGCATCTCATGACATCACGACTGCCAAGCTTTTCCAACGACAACCTGGAAGTTAAGACATGTTGCACCAGAATAGGTATAGTATTCTCTCTTCCAAGGGTGCTTTTAGACTTCTTTTCACGCCTGAGGTTAAGTACCTTCTGCCATTCGATCTGCCCGGCGCAAAGCTGAGTAATTGGGTATTGGAACATGATCGGTTTCCATTTGCCATGGGAATCGACCCGACCCCTCATTCCGCTCACCACCGGCTGGGTCCGCCTGGTGGTTCGATCATCAGACAAATCAAGTTGCTGTTCAGCGGCATTTTTCACAAACCGGAACGGCTTCCAGAATTGGCATCCTGCTGTGCTGGTCATACGGCGATATCGGTATACCAGCCACGGTAGCTTACCACTGTTGGGTACGGAGGGGCAAATACAATGCCATTGAACGGTCAAGAGTGACACAGCTACTCGGCAGTGGAATGACAGGTCTGATGTCAAGATATAATAATCCCTTGTACAGCACCACGTGGGAGCCACGACTAAAGACAAGCCTAGTTCCAGCCCTAAGAGGCAGCTGAGTTTCAGGGGTTGTGATCGGATTGACTGTAACCTACCTACGCGGGAGCCTCCATGCGAGTGATACTTTCATAGATCGGATGTGATTTCATCAGCTCCCATCCGCTGTCTCTGACAGGGAATATGCCATACATAGCGGAATATTCAATCACAGCCCCGGAATTCGCACTCCATAGCCAAGTCCAGTAATATCTTGCTTTCGACGCCCTGAAAAAGACAATTATTTTGCCTGGTCCGTTGACTGCCAATGTCCAATGTAATGTGGTGCTCCAAAAGTCTCTTCAACTCCCCGTGCAACCACAATGTCTTAAAGGCTATTCGTCAACATTCAGCCCATTGCAGTAGTCGCTGTTACACGGACTATACTCGTCAGACTTGAAAAAGACTCTAAAAATTGGTTTCATAGTCTTTTGACGCTGATGTAGTACGGACAAATAGGCTTTCAAGCCATTGCGTTTAACATGGCTAAACCAGCAATTTTTCTCTGCATCCAATGTGTAATTGTCTGGGAACCTTGACCACGCTCAATGGATGTTTGAAAAGGGCATACTTTTGCCTCCAACCGAACAACAGCCCATGTAACCCGTAGCTTATCACAGCAGATGCTCAAATCTCCCCATTCAAAACCCCCAGCAAAATCTCCCCCAACCTCTCCCCCTTCTTCCAAACCTCATCATGGTCACCACCCTTCTCCTCCCTCAACACCACCACCTCAACCTTTTTATCCTCGTCTGCCACCTTTTGGCTCTCCCTCTCCAGATACTCCGCCATCCCCTCCGTCTGCTCCACCGGCACCAAACTATCCTCCAAACTCTGCACCAACACCACCTTCCTCTTCTTCCCTTCTTCCCCTTGTTGTTGTTGAGTCAGATTCCACTCCCTCACCCACCCCTCCGCGATACTCCCAGGACACACCTTTTTCCAATCTTCCTCCTTCTTCCCAAACGCGCCCACAACAAACTCCCTATACGCCTCCTTCCACCTCTCGTACCCTTTCGGGGGATCTGCGATGAAACCCGCGAGATCATACAACCCGTTGAACCCCACCACTGCCTTTGGCTTTGCTACATTATACCATCCTGCGCGCCACTCTGCAGTCCCAGCCAGCCCCCACCGCTCGGGCGACATGCAAGCCTGCAGCGCCAGCGTCGCGCCACAGCTATGGCCCGCCAGCACGTACTCCTTCATTCCAAAGTAGTTTCGGAGGAACCCCAGCGCGGTAAGCACATCGGCAATGTGATCAGGGTGCTTGGCGGTGCGGTTGGGGTCATACGGGTCGTTGGAAGGGTGGGTAGGGTGGTTAGGGTAGGGGGAGAGGCGGTAGTTGATGGAGGCGATCCCCGCTACTGTCTTTTTTCTTTGCTCAAGGGGTTGTTGAGCGAGGTCAGAGAGGATTTTGGTGGCGCTTGCGTTGAAAGAGGACGAGTCGATGACGGGGTCGCGCCAGGCGCCGCCGTGGATGTAGATGAGCCAGGGGGCCTTTGCCCCGTCCCCGAGAAGTGTGTTGGGGGTAGGTTTGCCGTAGGATAAGGCGGCTGGGGAGATGGGAATCCACATGTCGAGGGTTTGGAGGGCCAAGGCTTCCTCGCCGGGGACGTAGTCATGGCGGCGCCAGTGGTGGCCGATGATGGTCTTATTGTCGGTGGGGTCGAGAACGGGTTTCCAACCACCACTCGAAGAACGGTTGTAGTCCGCCATTTGGTTGTTGTTGTTGTTGTTGTTGTTGTTGTTGTTGTTGTTGTTGTTGCTGTTGGGTGTAGACAGTGGTTTCTGTTTACTTTGTGCTTGAACTGGTACGGTACCCAAGGAGAGGATGGTAAGCCACAGGATGTTATTGATGATCATCGCTGTTTTCAGTGAGAGACGAAAGTCGAGAAAAGAAAGTGGGGTTTTCGTCACTTCACATCGATCCGTTCCGCGTAAAAATCAAACATCCGCGTATTACTATTACACCACCATGGCGTAACTTTCATCATCCTAGACAACAATCCATCGTTACACAAACCACCACTGGCACATTTGAACGCATCATCGATTGGTCAATGATTCCCTCCACCAATCTAACTCCCGGCCGGTCAAAAAAATTAATAAAAAAGAGCCAAGAAGCAAATAGAAGCCATACCCCCCCCCC